ATCTACACAGAACTAGCAATCGCCCTAAACACACCAAGAAAGCTGTAAGATACAGCCAAGCTCTCTGATACCACCAAATTTGCAGCGACTACCCACGACTGCCACCTCACAAATCTCAAATCCTCAAAATCTCGAGGGATTTGACGGTGGGGGTCTATTACAGACCCCCCAATCAAGAGGAGGAGCTGGACAGGGAATTTTCAGGCCAGCTTGCGGAGACACTAAAAGCAAGGGATGTAGTTGTCATGGGCGATTTTAATTACCCGGACATCTGCTGGGAGGAGCAGTCAGCCGGGACGGACCGCTCCAGGAGGTTCTTGGCCGAGTTGCAGGACCTCCACTTGATTCAGGAGGTGCACAGTCCCACCAGAGGAGATGCTCTGCTGGACCTGGTCCTGGCCGCAGGCGACGACCTGGTAAGAGGCCTCCAGGTTCTTGACCACCTGGGCAATAGTGATCATCGCGTGCTGGAATTCACCATCCAGCGTAGAGTGTCAAGGGCCCGCAGCAAGGTGGTGGCCCTAGACTTCAGGAGGGCCAACTTCAGTGAGATGAGGAGATTAGTGGGAGAGGAACTGGGGTCCTTGAGGGCAGAGGAACTCAGCGTCCAAGAGGAGTGGTCGTTCCTTAAGGAAACGATACTCGGGGCCCAAGGGGTGTCCATCCCGACAAGAAGCAAGGCGGGCAGGAGTGTCCAAAAGCCCCCCTGGCTCACCAAGGGTGTCCGGGAATGCCTGCTTGCCAAAAGGGTGGCGTACGCCCGGTGGAAGGGGGGTGTAATCTCCAAAGAGGAGTATACCTCCTCTGCTCGGGCCTGCAGGCGGGCTGTTAGGAAGGCCAAGGCGGAGATAGAGCTCGGATTAGCGTCCAGGATTAAGGATAACAAAAAGTCCTTTTTCAAATATATTGGGAGGATGAAGAAGGCGCCGGGTAATGTGGGGCCCCTGCAGGATATGCGGGGCAATCTGGTGGTTGCGTCAGAGGATAAAGCGGACCTCTTTAACCAATTCTTCACCTCCGTTTTCTTGTGCAGGGACCGGGACTTCCCTGCTGTGATAGAAGCCGGACGCGAGGGGATCGCCTTCAGACCTCAGGTTGGGGAGGACCGGGTTAGAGAGCTTCTGGAGGGGCTGGACGCGTTCAAGTCAGCGGGTCCGGATGCTCTCCACCCCAGGGTGCTGAGGGAGCTGGCTGGGGTTATTGCAGGGCCCCTGGCACGGCTCTACGAGCGATCGTGGTGCTTGGGCCAGGTGCCAGACGATTGGAAGGTAGCTAATGTGGTCCCCATCTTCAAAAAAGGGAAAAGGGAGGACCCGGGCAATTATAGGCCCGTCAGTCTTACCTCAATCCTGGGGAAACTCTTTGAGAAGATCATCAAGGAGCACATTTGTGATGGGCCGGCATCAGAAATGATGCTCAGGGGCAATCAGCATGGATTTATTAGGGGGAGATCATGTCAGACCAACCTGATTGCCTTTTATGATCAGGTCACAAAGGCCATGGACGCAGGTGTCGCGGTGGATGTAGTCTTTCTGGACTTCAGCAAGGCCTTTGACACCGTCTCTCACCCCATCCTAATTAATAAACTAGGCGACTGTGGCATAGATGCCTACACAGTCAGATGGATTGCAGATTGGCTGAAGGGTCGCACTCAGAGGGTGGTGGTGGATGGATCATACTCGACTTGGGGGGAGGTGGGTAGTGGAGTCCCCCAGGGCTCGGTCCTGGGGCCTGCGCTGTTCAATTTCTTCATCAGCGATCTTGATGTTGGGGTGGAAAGCAACCTGTTTAAATTCGCTGATGACACCAAAATTTGGGGGGAGGTGAGCACGCTAGCAGGGAGAGAGAGATTGCAGAAGGATCTGGATAGGTTACAGGGGTGGGCAAACAGGAACAGGATGTGTTTCAATACGGACAAGTGCAGGGTGCTGCACTTGGGTAGTAGGAACCAGCAGCACACTTATACGATGGGGAACTCCCTACTTGAGAGCACGGAGGCGGAAAGGGATCTTGGTGTCATTATTGACTCCAAGATGAACATGGGCCGACAATGCGAGGTCATGGTTGGCAGGGCTAACCGGACCTTGTCGTGCATCCACAGGTGCATCTCGAGTAGAGCCAGGGAGGTGATCCTCCCCCTCTATGCGACGCTGGTCAGGCCGCAGCTGGAGTATTGTGTCCAGTTCTGTGTGCCCCATTTCAGGAGGGATGTGGACAACATGGAGAGGGTCCAGAGGAGGGCCACCCGCATGATCCGGGGACAACAGGGCAGACCCTACAGTGAGAGACTGCGGGACCTGAACCTATTCAGCCTCCACAAGAGAAGGCTGAGGGGGGACCTGGTGACCGTCTATAAACTCACTAGGGGGAACCAGAAGGGTTTGGGGGAGACGCTGTTTCCCCTAGCCCCCGCTGGCATAACAAGGAGTAATGGGCACAAGTTGATGGAGAGGAGGTACAGATTGGACATCCGAAAAAACTACTTCACAGTTAGGGCGGCTAGGAGCTGGAACCAACTTCCAAGGGAGGTGGTGCTGGCCCCTACCCTGGGGATCTTTAAGAAGAGGCTGGATACTTACCTGGCTGGACTCATTTGAGTCCCGTTTTTGTTTTTAGGGTGTTTTTTTTTTTTGGGTTGTTCTCCCGCCCTGGCGGGGGGTCGGGCTAGAAGATCTATTAGGTCCCTTCCGACCCTGTAACTATGAAACTATGAAAACAGCCTTCAGCCAACCAGGACATTCCTCCAGAAAGAGAGATTGCACTTTTGAAAGAGCCGCCTGGACACCACGTTTAGATTTGCTGCAGTACAAAAAGAAAATCCCCACAAACTGCATACCATTATTTATGACATATCACCCGTCCCTGGAACCTACACAGAAAATCCTCAAACAATTATAACCTATACTAAAAAGAAGACCCCTCTCTTAAAACACCTTTCCAGAACCACCCATCCTAGCCTTCAAACAAGCACCGAATCTCACAAACCTCATCACCAGAAGCAAACTCCCTGTGGCCAAAACCACACCAGATGGATCCAGACAATGCCAGGACAAGAAATCAAAACGTGCCAACCCATCTCCACCACTCCCACTATAAATACACCCCACAACAAACCATCACCATTCCTGGATCTTATTGCTGCACCTACAGAAATGTTTTATATTTCATCCAGTGCACCAAATGCCCTGATGGAAAATATGTTGGAGAAACCAAACAACAACTGTGCACCAGAATGGCCGCGCACTGAAAATCTATCAAAGACAAGAATATCCAATTACCTGTGGGTGCCCACTTCTCACAAGACAACCACTCCCTCTCTGATCTTTTGGTTCTAATCATCCAAGGGAACATACAAAACACATTCTGTAGACGAGCCTATGAACTTCACTTCATAAATCTACTGGATACAAAAAATCATGGACCCAATATAGACATTGCTTTTATGACACATTACAACCTGCCTGACATCTTATTCAACAGGTACCTGCCTGACCTGACCTCTTACATTATTCTTCCCCCACACACCTTTTCTCTCTTCCCCTCACCTACTTTTTTGCCCTTTGTCTCCCTGATTTCCTACTATTTCCTTCTTCATTGAGAGCCTCTTCCTTACCCTGTATTATTACCTCTGTAATGTTTCCCTTTGGCCTTTTTCTCCCTGTTCTCTTCCCCCTCCCCTCTCTGCTTTACCTTTTGTTTTTCTAATCTTTACCTTTTACATTCTCACTGACATCCTGCCACACTTTTAGCTTCTCTCATTTCTTGGAGTCTTAGAACAGCAGAGACTTCCTGTGCCCCAAAGAAGGGTGACTGCACCCAAAAGCTTGCTAAGAACTTTTTTCCAACTACTCAGTTGGTCTAATAAAAGATACCACATCTACTCTAAGAACCTTGCCTGCCTCTATCCTTAGACCAACACAGCTAACCAAAAACCCAGTAATATTAGAGAACTGAAAAGTCATTTGAAGCAAGGTCAGGACTAAAGGGATGAGAGAACCTTGGCTCCAAGGGTTGTCTATTTATAGCTTCTGTGACTACGTGGGCAAGTTTCCTCATGGTAGAGGAGGAT